TACTACTACTACTACTACTACTACTACTACTACTACTACTACTACTACTACTACTACTACTACTACTACTACTAACTACTACTAACTACTACTACTACTACTACTACTACTACTACTACTACTACTACTACTGCTGCTGCTCTGCTGCTGCTGCGCTGCTGCTGCTGCTGCTGCTGCTGCTGCTGCTGTGCTGACTACTGCTGTTACTACGACTACACTACTACTACTACAACTTACTGCTGCTGCTGCTGCTGCTACTACTACTACTACTACTACTACTACTACTACTACTACTACTACTCCCGATTATTACTACTACGACTACTACGACTACTACTACTACTACTACTACTACGACTACGACGACGACGACGACGACGACACGACGACGACGACGACGACGACGACGACGACGACGACGACGACGTACTACTACTACTACTACTACTACTATACTACTACTACTACTACTACTACTACTCCCTTTCCTCTTCCTCCTCCTCCTCCTCCTCCTCCTCCTTCCCCTCCCCCTCCTCCTCCCCCTCACTCCTCCTCCTCTCTCCCCTCCTCTCCTCCTCCTCTCCTCCCTCCTCCCTCATCTCCTCCTCCTCCTCCTCCTCCTCCTCCTCCTCCTCCTCCTCCTCCTCTTCCTCATCCCACTCCTCCTCCTACTCCTCCTCCCCCTCCACCTCCTCCTCCTCCTCCTCTTGCTCCTCGGCCTCCTCCTTCTCCTCCACCTTCTCCTCCTGCTCCTTCTCCATTACTCCTTCTCCTCGCCCCCTTCAGCGGCCTGCACCAGGGGTGGGGCGGCGCGAGGGGGCTGGTATTCTAAGGAGGCCGAGGGCTCTTTGAGGAGGCGTCCTGGAGACTCCTCGGGAGGCTCCCTGGAGGGGCCTTTGAGTCTCCCTAGAACAAGCCTTTGGGGAGACTTTCTGCCCAGCCGACGCTCCAGAATAAGTGGAGCGGGAGGGGTTTGGCCGTTTTCGGCCTCTGGGGTCCTCGTCGGGCCTCGGGAGCGTCAAACAAGGACTCGGGACGAAAAGCCCGCCCTGGAGAAGTGGTTCAGCCCCCCGGGGCCCACGCATCGAAAACATTGGAACAGCCGCATGTCTGGTTAGAGACTCCGGGGCTCCTTAGAAGGGCCCTGAGACTACTGAGGAGGTTTCCTGCGAACCGGGCTCCTCGTCCTCCCGGTTCGGAAGGCCACCCTCCTGTTCTCAGCCCCTTGCGCGCGCCGCCAGCCCGTCTTGCGTCGGCGTGGCAACCTCGAGGTGCGCAAGCCGCGATATCCTGGCGTCGCGACCCCGCAGGGGGACACAAGTGAATCGACACACGTTCCAGGAGTCCCCATCTTCTCCGACGTCTCCCGGATGTTCTGTCCCACCCCCATTTCCCATGCATGTTCCCATCGTTACCCACATCGTCATCCAGAGCAGCGTTTTTTTGTATGCTGTGTGTGTGCGCGCGTGTTGTGCCTATCCCTCCTTGCAACCGGCAGCACCCCTGCCGGCAGCCGCGCAGCACCCCCGCCGCTCCGCGTTGCGCAGGCCCGCGCGGCGACCCCTCCTCCGCGGCCTCCGCCTCGCGGCCGCGGCCGCGGACGGGCGGCGGCCTGGGCGCAATGCAGCGCGCGCCGTGACCCCCCGCTGGAGGGAACGAGCACGGTGGCCACGGCCAAGGCGGAACTCGGGGGCAACGCTGGGGAGGGGCACCCCGAGATCCGACGGTTCCCCGCAGAAGTCTGGGGCGGGCGGCGGTCGGTGGCCACCTACGGCGCATCACGTGGGGGCCCCGGCCCTGCCCCCCCTGGGTCGCCACGCGACGATATCCCTGCAGGACGACAAGCCGGCCCCGGGGAAGTGGTCCCCAGGCCGCCGGTCGGGGAACAAGAAGCGACATGAGCACAAGCGTTCGGCGCTCCGCGCGTGTTTCGTGGATCCGCGTTGGGCTTCCCTCCCCCCCGGCTGCGCCCCGGGCGCCGCCCCTGGCGCGCTCCGCGCGCCAGGGAGGGAGGTCCAGCGCAGGTCCAAGGCATCCGCGCGGAGGGCCAGGAGTTGATGTTTCTGCCGTTCTGCTCCTCTTCTATCGGGGGCTCGCGCATCGAGCAAGCGTGTGTTTAGACCCCATCGCGTGTTTCCCCCAACGTGTGCTTGCCCCGTGCGGCCCCGCCGATGGCGAGCGGCCTGTGCCGACCCTCGTGGCGCCGCCCGCATCGTATATTTCTGAGGGCCTCCGTGGACAGACGCGCGACGGTGCCAATACGCACCTCCCGTGGATCGTCGCCTGGAGCCCCGCTGGAGCCGCCGGATATCCGGGCCCCGCCCCCCGCAGGCAGCGCCGCCGCTCCCCGCCCGCCCATGGCCGAGGGGCCCCGGCGGCGGGCCGCCCTCCTGGCGTGCTGCCTGCTGGCGCCCGGCCCGCGCTGCGCGGCGGGCCGCCTGCGGGCCGCGCGCGGCGGCGGCGCGCCCGGCGACGGCGCAGGGGCCGCCCCGTCGCGGGTGCTGCTGTAGAAGCCCGGAGAGCCGACGCGTCAACTTTAGGAGTCGGAGCCGGCGTCTCTTCGTTTTCTTTTTGGGCCTCGTGGGGGCCCTCGCTGGGCCTCCTGGGGAGCCTCAAGGAGCGGCCCTCGGGACGAAACTCCGGCCCTAGGGACGTGGTCCGGACCTGCGGGGCCAACGCGTCGGACAACTTAAGATCCTTACCGCGCATCCTTATGATACGGGTCGGCTGTAGATGGGGTCGGAGGCTCGCGCCGCATCGCCGATGCATCGGCGATACATCGCAGGACGGAGCGAGAAGCTGGGGGCACTTTTCGGAGATGGATGGACCTCCTACCCTGACGCGTCGATTCAGGAATTTGCCGTTTTCGGTTCGCGAGAGGGCGTCGCGGCCGTCATTTTTGTGGGTCCAGGTCCGTCGGTTTCGGTCGCAGGCCGTTTTCATTAAGGGGAGGTTTACCAAAGGGAGGTTTGTCCACCGCCGAACTTTGGGCCAGGGGCACTTCTAGCAGCACCCGCCCCGTGCGCGCAGTGCGCCGTGAGGGGCAGCGGCCACCCCTTCTCCAGCCTGGAAGGACAAGAGCCGCGTGGGTCCGAGGCGTCGGGTTCCTATTTCAAGCAGTGGCGACGCGTCCTTGCTCGCCTATAGCCCTACCAAACAATGTTCTAAGATCTAAGAACCTTTTGTGGTTCCCGCGAAATGTTCTTAGAACATTTCTGGCCGGGACTGTTTTTTTACACATCGGGTCCATTTTCTAAGGGCATTGTTGTTGTTCGTAGAACATTTTTTGGGTTCTAAGAACATTTCGTGGTAGGACTACAGGAATGCCAGGACGGTCGGTCCCTGCTCAACTATTGACCCCCTCGGGCGAGGAGCAAAAATCATGCCATGAGGCTTTTCCACAGCTTCCGCCTCTTGGGGGGCCTTAACGGCCCTCGGGAGCGGCAGCAGAACGACTCAGGATGGGAAACCGGTCCCAGGGAAGTGGTCGAGACCTCCCCAGACCCCCGACGTGATGATTTTTTTCGCAACGTCGGTGATTAGAGGTCTCCACCCATTCCCTGGGACCAGTTCTTCATCCTGAGCCAGTTCTTGACAGTCCCGAGGGCCGGTGAGGGCCTCCAGAGGGCGACAATCAGGAACAACAAATCGCTCCTGATTTTTGTTCGCTACCCGAGGGGGTCTTCGTCGGAGGGTCGACGTGGTGAAAAAATGCGACTTCCGGGCCCGCGTCGGAGCGCTGACCCAGCCCAGGAGGGCAAGAGCCTCGTGGGTCTCGGAGGGCGCGCCAGGGAGGGGGCGACCAACGGCTGGGGGGCAGCGAGGGCTGCCTAAAAGGGGCCCCTCTGGGCCCCTATAGAGGGGCCCCTCCGGGCCCCAGAAGGGAGCCTCCGGGGCCCGAGGAGCATTTGGCTTCATGCCCCCGTCCTCACCGGTTTCTTCGGGCCCCAGCCAGTTCAGACCCCTTTGCCCTTCGGGCCCCATCCAGTTCAGACCCCTTTGCCGCCAACCTGGCGGTGCCTGGCGCGCTCCGCGCGCCAGGATGGGGGGTCCAACGCAGAGCCCAGAGATCGGCGCCTCTGGAGAGCGTGGGATCGTGCAAGGCTCGGGCGTTACGTAACGGGGCTGTGGACGACGATCAATGGAGAGGAGGTGTGTTTCAAATAATTGCCAGCTGTATAGAAACGTGTTTGACATATGTTTAACATTGTATTTAACACACAGGTATTAAACGATGCCATGACATTTTTCAGGCACTTTACACACATTTGTAATTCAATGATTAGATTGCTAGGTTGTCCACTGCCATGGCATCCACAATAATGGGTGGAGGAACCATGGGGGGGTGAAGAAAGGTGCACCATTCGTGCACTGGAGGGGAAAGGAGCTCCCTGGTGCCCAAAATGGGCACGGAAGGTACACGCTTCTCCGCCCCCCCGTTTGTCGCCCCCCGTTTTAAAACAACGCTTAAGTCGGGCTTGTCCCTCTACAGGAGGAAGATTCACACTACATCAAAATATAGTCTGGGGACGATTTGTCCATCATTTGTTTGACTACTTTTGTATAGGTGTTGATTTGTTGTCCGTCCAAAATCCCCTTGCAGGAGGACATGCCCGACCTAAAGCAACGCCCAGGATGCTGAGCGAGCCACGCAGTGTCAGCAACCATCGCACGAGTCGTCACGATGCGGACCAGCCGTAACCTTTCGGAGACCCTCGCGGATCTCTTGGGTCAGCGCCACACCCCTGTTCGACACGCTGACACATTCGGCGGCGAACCCGGGGGGGAAGTGAGAAGGGGTGGGCCTTCTTAGAAGGTTCGGAAGGTCCCCAGCCTTCTGAGAGAAGTTTTCTAAGCCTTCCCCGAAGACACATAACATTTCTCAGAAGGCGCGAGGGCTTCTGAGAAGTCCCGCTGCCTTCTGAGAAGGTCTTCTCCTTCTCATTTCCCCTCCTCGCCCGCCGCCGACACTTGGAATCCGAGCGAGCCTCCGAAAGCGCATGTTTATGTGCGGTTGTTGTCCTTCTGCCATCGTGGTCCTCCCTGACACACAGTACTATTCCAAGTACGAGGACAACATCGACCTCTTTGCGAGGCAGACCAGGTGGATCGTGGAGCAAGTGCAGGATCGGAAACTTGAGCATATACATTACAAGTGGCGGGCTGCGTTTCAATCCCAGCACTTTCTGAGGGTCGGGGACGACGTCGGGGTGGTGTGGTGCATGCGTTTTTCCCTTTTTGTTTTCGCGAGGAAACCGCGAGACATGTATTCTCCAGGATCTCGTATACACCAGGATCTGCTTCTTTGTGCGACAAGGCTTCGGTGTATCGAGTTCGGTTCTTTACAGGACCCCGCGAGCCCCTGGAACATCAAGTTTGCCACTCACATGGGCGACCTCGTGAACGACGGCTGGAACCACGACCAGTGGCGCCGGGCGGAGAGCGCCATGGCGACACTTGGCCCACGGGGCGGACCCTTCGTGCTGCCATTCAGCGTGCTGCCAGGCAACCACGACTTCCACAATATCGGATGGGCCAATGTTCCACCACCACCACCACAATTTGTAGGATGGGGGAGAAGGGAGGATGGGGAGGTCCTCCTCCTCCTGCTGCTCCTCCTGCTCCTCCCTCTCCTACCTATGGTGGTGGTGGTGGTGGTGGAAAATCGGCCCATCAATATCTCGAGGAAAGAGACCGGGTCCGCCAACTACCTGAGTTATTTCGGCCCCGAACGTTTCGCCGGCGCCTCTTGGTACGGCGGCGCGGACGCGTCGGGCAGGAACAGCTTCCAGGTGTTCCAGGCTGGCGGCTTGCACTTCCTGCATCTCGCTTTGGAGTGGATGCCAGAGGACAACTCGGAGAAGCTGGGCGTCGCACCGCTCGCCTGGGCCTCGGAGGTCATCGGCAAGCACCCGGGCAGGGCCGTGATCCTCTCGACCCACGAGTACCTCAACGACGCCCCGCCCGGCCGGACCCGCACGGGCGACGCCGTGTTTGGCGAGTTCGTCAGCGAGCACGACCAGGTCTTCCTCGTCCTCTCCGGGCACCACCACAACCACGAGGCGTCCGGCGAGGGGTCCGCCCTGAGCAACGACGGCGAGTGGCACCAGGTGGGCGACGTGGAAACCGTCTGGGCATCGTCCCAGACGGGGTCGGAGTGGGGGGTCGGAGGATCGCGCCGCATCGCCGATGCATCGCCGACGCGGCTCGATGTGGGGCCCGACTTGCCTCGCGTCTGCGTCGCCGATGCATCGCCGACGTCGACGATGCGTCGCCAGTGCATCGCCGGTGCATCGCCGATGCGTCGGCGATGCGGCGCGATCCTCCGACCCCGCCCAGGAGGCCTCTCAGACGTCTTCGCCGACACTGGCGCGGCAGCCGCCCGCGCGCGAGGCCGCGCGTAGGCGCCCTCCGTGTGTGCACGGCGGCGCGCCACGCTGGCGGTGGCCCGTGGAGGCCCGCGGCGGCCGCCACGTCGTCGCGCGCGCAAAGGGCCCGCTGCTGTGCCCGGACCCCCGACGTCATGATTTTCGGGGGCGGAAAGGAGTCAGCGAGCGAGGAACGGTACAGAATCAACTTTTCCGCCGTCGGGGACACCTGCCCCTGGGCGGCTGGAAAGTTTATACCCCTATGGTGCCACCGTAAGGGTACAGACTTTCCAGCCGCGCTGGGGCAGGTGTCCCCGACGGCGAAAAAGTGTATTTCATACCGTTCCTTGGGGGCGGAAAAGAGGAGGGGGGTGATGACTAGGGGGGGTGGATATCATGGCGGAGGCCATGACATCTCCCCAGATTTCGTGGCGCCTCTTCTTATTGCATTACGTCCTTGCCCCCCCCCGCTGGGCCGCGCACATGCCGCCGGTCATGATTTGCACCCCCCCCTCTTGGACACCCCCCTCTTGGCCGCTCCCGAGATTTGTTCATTACGTCGACCCTCAGGGGTCTCGACCCATTCCCCGGGACCAGTGTCTCGTCCTGAGTCGTTTTCTGACGGTCCCGCGCGCCCCTCGAGAGGCCGAAAATGCAGCAAAGCTTCCCGTCATGATCTTTTCACTACCCGAGGGGGTCAGGGCTCGTCGCTCAGGTCAGCAAGAACCGCTTCGGCCGGGAGGTCGTCGAGGTGCTGCAGGACTTCCAGGACTACCCGCGGGGCGGGGACGGCTGGCTGCGCATCGTCACCTTCGACCGAGAGCACGCCGAGCTGCGCTTCGAGACGTACAGCCCCGTGCTGGGCAGGTTCCAGGCGGAGACCGTCGCGGAGGACGGGCCGCGGGCCAGCAGGTTCCGGAGGGGGCCCCGGCTCAGAGGAGGACGAGTTGGGACAACAGCAGTTTTATGTCGGGCGTGTCCCCCTACAGGGGGATTTTCGACGAAAAATAAAAGATACCCCCAAAAATAGTCAAAACAAAAATACAAAACTAGTCCAGGAACTATGTTTTGATTATTTTTTGACCTTTTGGGGGCATTTTGGGGGTGTATTTTTTTATTTTATTTTTCGTCGATAATCCCTCTGTAGGGGGACACGCCCGACATAACAGTAGTTCGGTGCGATCAGGATGTGTACGGAAAGAACGGGCACAGTGGAAACACATTTTTTGGGGGGTCGGCGGGTCGGGAGCGGGCCCCTTCCGGTTAAGAGCTAGGCGGGGCGCGCGAAGCCCTAATCGGAGAGACGGCGCGGGCCGGCGGGGCCTCAGGCGGCCGGAGGGTGCAGAGTACAGGCAGTGCCGAAGATCTTGCCCAGGACCAGGTACGCCATGGACGCACAGTGGAAACACATGCCAAGAAACACGCTGCTTGCCTCCAGGGTGCCCTGAGTTTGGTGGGGTTCGATGGTTTTGCGATGGGAAGCGTGACGTCCCCACGCCACAGACCAATGGACGTCCTGGGGCTCAGGGTTGGGGTTATTGCTGGAGGTTTCTTGTGGTCGAGCTCCTATTGCACGAAGACTGGCAGCAGTTCTTGTTCACTTTGGGCAGGAGTTGTTGGCGGTGCCGCCGCGGGCCACTGTCCATTGGAGGAGGCAGAAGGCCGCCTGCCCAAGAGCGGCCGCTGTCGGTGTAGGGTAACATGTGTGGTTGGGCATCCCACCCAGTTTTTCCGTACCCATTTCGGCCGTCCACCGTAGTTCGTTTTCGGGGGTCCCTTTCGTCGCCTTGGCTGGGCGCAGCTCGGGAAACCGGTGCGTTTGGAACCTGGGGGGAGCCCCCGGAGCGATCTTGAGGTGCCGGTGTCTCTCAATTCGCCCTGTTCCGATCAACGATGCACCTGCACCGATCCTGGCCAGGGCCGGTCCTGGACCGAAAGCACGGGGTGTGGAGCGAGAGAAGGACGCACACCTACGTGAATGCACGCTGGTTTCGAGAGGGCGCATTGCGCAAAGGCTCGTATCACGAGGCCGGTCTCGCAGACTGGGGCGCCGTAGTCATGCACGTGGCCGGGCGCATACGTCCTTTTGTGAGCCCCCCTACCTGCCCAAGCCAGGAGGGCATACGCCGAGAAAGAGGAACGGCGTCAGCAAGCCCTTCGCAGCTCCTCGCACAGCTCCGGGAGAGTTTTCTTGTGCAGTTGTTTCCTCTGGCGTCCCTGATCCGTGGGCCCAGGATGGGCCTGGCCAGGACAGGTGTACACGCTGGTCGTTGAACATATCTTTCTAGTCTCCAAAACTCATACCATACGGCGCCATAGGATAGACAGCAAGCACATCGTTTCTGGACATGTGCTTGCCGTTTCTGTTGTTGAATTCCAATTTCGAAAGAAGAGTGTTTGTTGATCCCACCTGCCCAGTGACCATTGTTTGTTTCAGTTAAAGTACTTGTCCTAGGGCTCGCATCTTGCTCTTTCGCAAGGGAGAAAATGGGGCCACCAGAGAATGTCCCTGGCCCGCGGTTTAGAACAACAGCGGCTCCCGCCTGATATTTCCGCATGAATGATATCAAAATCGCGCTCTCGCTCGGGACTTCTTCAGAGTGTATGCAAGAATTGCGCTCTCGCGTGGGACGTCCTCGCAACTGATTCAAGCGCCACACTCTCGACGCTCAGGGATCGCGCTCTCGCGATGGTATTTCTCGTGATTTACTTGGGGATCGCGCTATCGCTCGAGACCTCTTCGCGATTCATGGGGCATTCACGTTTCAGCAATTCGCCTGCTCGAAGTGGTCGCTTGGGCCCGCCTTCCCGACCAGACCGTTAGGGTCGACCCACTCGATCAGCCCGTCCGGTTCTGTTACGTATTTTATGTTCCTAGGCCCTTCCTGCTCATCCCGTGCTCCATCCTTCTTCCTCCCCCTTCCATCCATCCTCGCTTCTCCTGTTTTGAGGGCTGTACCAATTACGCGTTGCAGGTAAGGAAGATCTACCCCCAGGGGGGTACGATCGAAGATGACGCGGGCGGGTATCGAGGGTGCGAGACATAGGTTTCGAAGGACACGCGCGCAGAGAAGAGCGAACAGTCTTCAAATGATTATTGTTGCTGTTGTTGGTATTGTTATTGCTGCTGCTGCTGTTGTTGGTGGTGGTCTTGGTGTTGGTAGTGCTGTTGTTGTTGTTGTTGGTGTTGTTGTAGTATTTGTTCGTCGGTGTTGTTGGTGTTGCTGGTGTTGCTGGTGTTCGTGTGGGTGTGGTTCCTGATGTTGATGCTGTTGCTGCTGCTGCTGCTGTTGTTGTTACTGTTGTTGTTGTTGTTGTTGTTGTTGTTGGTGTTGCTGTTGCTGTTGCTGTTGCTGTTGGTGTTGTTGTTGTTGTTGTTGGTGTTGGTGTTGGTGTTGGTGTTGTTGTTGTTGTTGTTGTTGTTGTTGTTGTTGTTGTTGTTGTTGTACGTGTTGTTGTAAGTGTTGCTGTTAGTGTTGTTGTTGGTGGTGGTGTTTGTTTTTGTTGTTGTTGGTGGTGGTGGCGCCCAACCCAATGTATTGAATTCGCGTCCCTACGTCATGTTTCCCCCTTCTTTCCCGACTGGCGGGCACTCTAAGAGAAATACTGGAGGCCTCGCGCAACGCGCAAGAGTTGTATTTTTTCGTCTGCATGTCTGCGCCGTCAGATATGGAACGATGTTCGCGCGGCGATGCTCCGGCCTAAGTCCGACGTAGATCCGACGTGGATCCGACATACATTGGGTCACAAGTTACCGCGCGAGGCCTCGAGGGTTTTCCTCATGAGGTATAGGTGAATACTGTGTGGGCGTTGGTAAGGAATGTGCTCTGGAGGCTCCAGTGCCTAGATCATTCGTTGTCTGATGAGGGCGGCGGTGGCATCCGTGGCAAATCGACGATTGGAGTTCGACCGGCTTCCAGGTCCTGGATCGTTTACGGTCGGTGATATTTTACCAGCCTCGAACGTATCCTTATCCCTACGATTGACACGCCAAAAGGCGATGACAATCTTAGGGGTTCGCCCTCCAAAAATAAGGGGATCCCTAAGATCGGCATCGTGATGAGGAGGTGCCCAGCATAGGGATAGGGATTGTTCCAGGCTGGTAGATATCGGGGTAGCACCACTGGTCGGAGCGACACGCTATCCTCGTGCAGGCGTCGGCGCCGCGAGCTTTTCTCCGAGCTCCCTGCCCCGCGGGATCGGGGCCGCCGGCAGGGCACTGCGTGGCGCCAGGGCCGCTGCCGCGGCGCGCCGAGCAACGCGTCTCGACCGTATCCTCAAGTCGGGCCTGTCCCCCTCCAGGGGGATTCTGGGCGAAAACTAAAGCATACTCTTAAACAGATTCCCAAATGATCAAAAATAGTCAAAACATCGTCCCCAGACTATTTTCCATACTATTCTTGAATTGTCCCCCTGTAGAGGAGCAGGCCCGACCTAACCTTATCCGAGGACCCCCGACGTCGTGACCTTCTCATGGCGCGGACCCTCGCGAGGTCTCGACCGCCCCCCGGGACCGGTCTCCCATCCTGTGTCCTCTCGGAGGCGGATAGACCTCCTACCCTGACGCGTCGATTCAGGAATTGGCCGTGTTCGGTTCGCGAGAGGGCGTCGCGGCCGTCATTTTTGCGGGTCCGGGCCCGTCGGTTTCGGTCCCAGGCCGTTTTCGCTAAGGGGAGATTTACTGCAGGGAGGTCTGTCCACCGCCGGTCCTTCCGATGTGCCGGTCCCCCCGGGGGGCAAGGCGAGGGCCCCCAGAGGTCAAGGCACGGCCCGACACCTCCCGTCGTGAGTCGGGGAGGGGAGAAGGCACACAGACACAACTAGTCGTCGATCCCCAGGAGAGTATTTGAAAGGATTGGAATTGGGGGGGGAGACGAGAGTCCGAGACATGTGGAAGCATGTTGGGAATCGGGTTATTCGTGTCTATGTGTTCGTGTGTCCCTGGGCCCCTCTAGTGATCTTTTCAGGCCCGAGGGTGCCTTTGTCAATGCCCTCACCGCTGGGATGGGCGCGGGGGGATGCTAAATGGATAGGGGTTCTATAAGCGGATGCCAAGATGGGTACGATCTGGCCAAACTTGGCTTATCAGCGGGCCACAAGTGTCGTAGGTGGCTTAGGGAGTTGCCTAATTCCGCTAAGTGGACGAGACCCATTCAGCCAGGACATCTCTACCCCTTTCGCCATACAGGGCGCTTGTAACCGATTTGGAAGCGAGGTGTGGGGCCGATATCGCCGAATTGGCAGCCGCACTTAGCACCCCGCCGCGCCTTCTCAAAATGTGGCTCTCGCCTTAGCGCGGCGCACGTTCGTTTGAAACAATTGCGAGAGTTTCGCAGGTTGAGCGCGAGTCGTTTTCGAAATGGGGTTCTCGCCTAAGCGCGGTGGACATTCGTTTTACAATTTTGCAAGAGCTTCACGGTTTGAGGCGGCTCCTTTTCTACATGTGGCTCTCGCGTTAGCGCCGCGCACATTCGTTTACAACGTTTGCAAGAGTTTCACGGTTTCCCATCATCAGCGTGCTAGAAATGGTGTTTTGAAAAGATTCAGGATCACGCGAGTGCAGCAGTTATATTGGTTCGCTGTGTTGAAGCCCCAGGCATTTAGTTCTGGCACGATCCAGGATCAAGACGCAACAGTCAGGTAAATCCGTGGCGTTGGAAGCCCGAAAACAATGTTTTTGCATGCGTCAGTACTTCAAACGGTTGTCTTCCAAAGAGGCAGTTCCTTGAATTGCAATGAATCGTTGTAGAGGCCTATGAAGAGGGAACTTGGAGGGAGGGCTTAAGCAAACATCGTTGATGACTTTTGGGTTTACACTGGTCCTCCTCCCCCTCCTCCTCCCCCCCTTCCTCCTCCTCCTCCTCCTCCTCCTCCTCCTCCTCCTCCTCCTCCTCCTCTCCTCCCTCCTCCTCCTCCCCCTCCTCCCTCCTCCCCCCCTCCTCCTCCCCCTTCCCCTCCTCCTCCTCCTCCTCCTCCTCCCCCTCCTCCCCCTCCCCCTCCTCCTCTGCCCTCACGGCGCCCCGGCGCCTCCACGAGAGGTTCCGCATACCCCTCAACCTGACCGCGCGCCTGGGCGCCGCCCCGCGGCCCCGCGCCCCCTTGCAGACCTGGGGCCGCGGCGCCGCCGCCGCGCCCACTGCGGGGGCGCGGGCGTGAGTCGCGCAGCGGCGAAACGTCCCGGCGTCCACTTAGGCCCGCCAAGGAATGTTCGGGGGCGGCAAAGAGGGGGGTGATGACTGGGGGTGGGTGGGACATCATGGCGGGGGCCATGGTATCTCCCCAGGTTTCATGGCGCCTCTTCTTATTTCATTGCGTCCCTGGCCCCCCCGCTGGGCCGCGCACATGCCGCCGGTCATGATTTGCACCCCCCCCCTCTTGGACACCCCCCTCTTGGCCGCTCCCGAAATGTTCTTAGAACCTTTTGCGGTTTGCACGGCATGTTCTCAGAGCGTTGCTGGCTGGGACAGTCTCGCTTTAACACCTGGGGCTTATGTTCTGAGAACATTGTTTTGTTATCATAACTTGTCTGGGTTCTAATGACATGTCGTGGGAAGCCTATAGAAATGCCGGGACTGTCGGTCCGGCTCAGGTGAGGCCGGAGTGGCAGCTTGCGCGAAAGCCAAAAAGGTTCCCAGAGCGGGTCGCGTCGCACAAAAATCAGGACGGCAAGTTTTCGCTATTTTCGGTCCCTTGGGGCCCTCGCCGGGCCCCGGGAGCGTAAAGAAACGACTCGGGATGAGAAGCCGGCCCCAGGGAAAGGGTCTGGATTTCCAGGGACGCCGTCATAAAAAAAGCAAGACTTCTGGACGGCCCTCGGAGTTTACCAAACAGCCCTGCCCTGTTCGAGTTCTCCTCTGGGTGCGTTTCCTACGCGGCTTCACGCGTGCCGGGGTGATCATCGTGAGGGCGGACGTTCTGTTCTCTGAAGATCAGGAGCGAAATAAGGACGTACACGTACATGAATCCACGCTGGTTTCGAGAGTACGCGTTGCCCGAGTATTCGTATCACGCGGCCAGTGTCGCGGATCGAGGGGCCGTGTTCATGTACATAGCTGAGCGCGTACGTCCTTTGTGGGCTCTCTGCAGAAGGGGTTGCCATCTCTTCCCCCGCGGCAGGCGGCGGCAGGTCGGCGGAGGGCGGCGGCAGCAAAACGAGGGGGGGCTCCGCCGGCGGAAGCCGGCGGACGCAGAGGTCGACCTCCCACTGAGCAGGGACCGACCGTCCCGGCATTCCTATAGCCCTGCCACGACATGTTCTTAGAACCCCAAAATGTTCTAAGAACAAAAACAGTTTTCTTAGAACACAAACCCGATGTGAAGAACATACACCCGATGTGATAAAACAAGACAGACTCCGCCACATATGTTCTAAGAACACGTCGTGGAAACCACAAACAGTTCTTAGAACATTGTTTGGTAGGGCTATAGGCGAACCAGGACGCTTCGCCACTGCTTGACCCCAAGAGATGACACAATTTTTGGGTTCAGGGTTTCCGGAATCGGTCAGGCAGTCTCCACGCCTGCGTCGCCGAGGCGCCGCCGACGTCGCCGATGCATCGCCGACGCATCGCCGATGCGGCGTGATCTTCCGACCCCATCTACTCGGATCCCACCTGCGCGGCCTCTAGAGTGGCAGGTTGGCGCGCTGATGAGAGATGGACTAGGGGGGAGCGGCGATGGCCTCTCTCTTACAGAACTCTAGAGTGGCAGGCTTGCGCAATGACAAGAGCAAAACCATCTTTGCACCACCATGCTCGAAGAAGAAACAACGCTAGAAACATACACTGTTGGCGCGTCGGGCCCCACTGGCGACCTCCGGCGCCGCCTCTGGCGCGCCACGCGCCAGGGATGGGGGGTCCAGCGCAGATCCAAGACGCCCGCGCGGGGCGCCAGGAGTTGA